CCCCAAAACCCCAAAACCCCAAAACCCCTTTAATAGTCTTTAATTGAATCTCTGAAATTATGAACAACAAAGTTAAAATTATTACTTCTTGCTATTTTGAGTGGCACTGCTTTCTTGGCAGTTTTGAGAAATCTTCTTAGGCTTCTTCACCTTCTTCCTCTTCATTTTATTAGGCTTCTTGTTGGGCACTGCCTGAGCCTTGAGGTTAACAGGGATCTCATGGACAGCTCTTTCTTTAGAGGCTATATTTATTTTGCTTTCTTCCTGGCCTTGGAATTTCTGTATTAGCTTTTGGATTCGTTTACGCTTGACAGGAGTTTTACAATCAGAAATATCATCATTTGTGTTATCTGAATCACCAAACCGAGAAATCCTTCCCTTGTTTGGAGTTAAATGAGGCGTCACACTCGTTGGATGCCCCAGCAAGTGGTTATGGTGGTTCTATAGATAAGCTATGCCAGATTACCTTTAAGGGTTGTTCAAAGATATACTTTGAAGTTTTACTTTTGCGAAAGAAGCAAATACTCCATGGGCATTCAACAGAAGTTGAAGACCCCTCTTTTAGGGACTTTTCTTTTCAGCTAATGACGAACCTTTTCTCTTCAGGATTCTTTTGTTCTAGGATTTTGCATCTGTACTTGAACCGATCATTGATACAGGCTACCAGTCCTTGCTTTAAGCGACGAGATGATTTGGCCTCAATCTTCGTAATAGAATCAAGGCTACACACTGCTCAATGGTCAGGTAAGGAGTCGGAACAATGGCCTGTGAGATTTTGTTTAACGTTATGTATGTCAGTATCTTCAATTCCATGGATTAAAGTAGGTTGAGGGAAACAAGGACTCGTGGTTCCTTCCTTTGGGGGCTCAACCCTATTAACAAAGCTTTTTCTTCTCTCTTTAACATGCTTCTTCCTTTCTTTAGTGGTCTTTTTCTTTACAGCAGGTGGTGCAACATCCACATTTTTCCCGACCTGAGGGGTCAAAACCTTTATTTGTCCTTCGGATTTTTGAGGAGGTTGGCTTGCTGGCTTTTTGTTAACTGGCACTTTATCAGAAATATCACCAGCAGGCTCGGATGCTATTTGAGGCTCTTGGGAATGTTGACGCTGATGAGGGATAAGACAGAGTTTACACCTATCATACACCTCACATTTCTCTTCACCTTCGCTATCAGAAATCTGTGTGGTATAAAACTTCGGTGTTCTCTCAGTAAGGTACACGACGTCATCTTGCAAGAACAGCGAAGGAGTGAAGAACCTGGCTCCTTTAGATCCCTTAAGGATATAATTTGTATTACCGGTGATGCCAAACCTATGTCAAATTCTTTTCACCAGGCTGGCTATATTTCCTCTATCAGTCCTGACTTGGAAGAACTCTGGGGACTCCCTACACCATGGTCAACTAGTGACTTACTTTTGTCTGCAGTAGACTTGGATACGTATCAGTTTTCCTTCGGGCAAGGCCATGCTCTGTTTGCTATTTCTTGTTTAATAATTAGAATTGAAATGTTTAGTTTCAATTATACAGCACGCATCTGGGGTTTTGGGGTTTTGGGGTTTTGGGG